TTTTGTCTTTCCCCTCCTGCCAATCCCATCAACCCTGCACCCTACCCACTGGGTGGCTTCCCCCCCTGCCATTCCTCCTGGAACTGCAGGGGTTGGTCTGAACCGGCTGGCCCAGCCTTCGGGTGCTGGCTCAACCTTTGGGTCCCACCCCCACCGCCTATCCCTGGGCATCTTCTGGGCCCACCCCGCCCTTGGCTGCTACAGCCTGGCTGTCTTATGCTCTGGATGAGCTGCTCCCGGCTCCAACCCACCACCCCATGCTTGGGCTGCCTCCTCCTCAGCCTGCCCTTCCAGCCTTTTCCATGTCTCAGGGCGTATTGCCCAGGCTTGTCATTGCTGGCTGGGGGTTGACTGATGAGGGCCACTGCAACGCCACTTGCCCCAAGCTCAGTCACCAGTAGACTGATTATGGATTTGCTAAAACACTTAAACATTGCCCGGAAGCAGGGGCTGGGATGTCACCAGTATGCGGATGACACCCAGCTCTATCTGTTGTTGGGTGGTCAGTCCGACGCCAAACCGGAAGATCTAGACCAGGCATTACAGGCCGTGGCTGGTTGGCTTAGGCTGAGCCGGCTGAAACTGAATCCGAAGGTCCTGAGATTAGGGATCCTGCTCCCGACTTTCGATGGGGCACCTCTGGTGCCAGCACCAGAGGTTAGGAGTTCGGGAGTGCTCCTAAACGCCTCCCTAACAATGGAGGCCCAGGTAGCAGCCACTGCCAAATTGGCCTTTTACCATCTTCAGCTGATCAGGCAGTTGGTTCCCTTTCTCGAACACAACTATTTGGCAACAGTGATCCATGCAATGGTCACCTTGAGATTGGATTACTGTAATGCCCTCTACATGGGGCTGCCCTTGTCTCAAATCCAGAAGCTGCAGCTGGTGCAGAATGCCGCGGCCAGGCTATTGATGGGACTCCTTATTCGGGAGCACATCCATCCCGTGCTAAAGGCATTGTACTGGCTGCCTATAGCATACCAGATTTGTTTCAAGGTGCTGGTTCTTACCTTTAAAGCCCTTTATGGCCATGGACCTACATACCCTAGGGACCGGCTTTCCCCACATATACCCCAGAGAGCACTGCGATCAGGGTTCAGAACAGGCTGGCCCTTCCAAGCCTTAAGGAGGACAGGCTAGTAACAACCAGGGCCAGGGCTTTCACTGTGGCAGCTTCACTCTGGTGGAATGAGCTCCCAGAAGAGATCAGGGCCCTGCAGGACCTTTTGCAGATCCGCAGGGCCTGTAAAATGGAGCTCTTCTACCAGGCTTTTGGAGCCGCCACCACCACTAACAACTGACAGCACAAATGGGAGAGCCCTGTTCCCCCCCCCCCCCCGGGGCTTTAAAAGAAGCCCGGGGGAGCCAGCTGTCTAAGATGACCTAAGAAGACTAGAGGGCTGACTACAAACTGCATAACAACTACCACTGTAAAATTACAAAATTATTGATACTAGCACTTTATTATATTTATGGTTTTAGCACTGTTTAATTGGTATATGTTGTTCCTAATCTATTTTATGTGTATTGTAAAAATTGTAGGTGTTTTATGTAAGCCGCTCTGAGCTGGCTTTGGCCAGGAGGGCAGGATAGAAATCTAATAAATCAAATCAAATGGAGTAGGTTTTATTTGTTTCTGAAAAATTGTTAATTAAAAAAAGGTTTTATTTGTTGATGGTGCAGCAGCATCTAGAGCATTTGTTAAATATATTAGATTGTTTCCTACGCAAGGTTTGTTTCCATTTCATTTCTGTGTCAAGACAAAATATTAAAAGTGCAAACTTTTCTTGGTTTGAATTTAAGCTGAAGATAAGCAGCATATGAAGAATGATCAGTGAATGCTGAAAGCTTCTAATGTTATCACTGAAGAAGCTGTTTACAAATGCATATTTCTAAGGTAGACCTACCTGCTCCAGGTGCTACACAGACACACATGCACATACACCAATGTGCATACCAGCCCCCCCCCCCCAAAGTTTAAGGCAGGTTGCTGATAAACTTTTCCCCATCAGTATCCTTACCTGGAGTGTCCTTCAGACTTGACATATTGAACATATATATAATGTCATCAGTGCAATTAGCAAAGAGGCTGGTACCAGTGGAATCCAAAACAAGACTAGAATAACCTAGAAAAGAGATAAGGTTTTATATGGAGCTGGCTTTTCTCAATATGAAAACAGCAGCTCCTTCTAAACTTCTGCAACCTCCCCAGCCTCTGCTATATGAGATTCTTTAATTGGAAGTGCCAAGACCAGAACCTGCAACCTTCTGCATGCAAAGGGGGTGCTTTACCACTGAGCCACAGTGTCTGCTCAGTTACATCTTTAATTATTGCAAAATAAGAAACAAGAATTACAACTGATGGCAGAAGCCATGCATTGTATTGGATTTTAGAGGGGGAAGAGACAGTTGGCTTCCTAGACTTCAACCCAGGGCTTGTTGCAGATTTTAAAAAAAAATTAGATATTTTGCCAGTATATGGTTAATGTAGAGTATTAGGACTGAGAGTTATACAGCCTTATACAGTCAGGACTAGTGCTGTATTTTCTATGGAGGTGAGACTGAAGCAGCTTTCAACCCTTAATCCACTTTCATTAAAGTCTAACAGGCAGGGCCATTGTAGTTAACATTTTTGGTATGTGTGCTCCAAATCAAGCCTAAAATGTAAGATGCAACTGCTCTGCTGCACACCTGAGTACTCATGCAGCAGTGCACACAAACAAATATGGACCTTAGGGCAGTTCTGCCTCTAGTGTACTGACCTGAGTACCAGGCTGTATGGCAACACTAGACAGAGGCAACTAGGAGTATGCCAGAACCAGGGGCTCCCGCCCAGAAATGCTACCAACCCCTGCAGATTGTGCCATTTTGCAAAACCCAAGTCACAGGTCGGATACCCATAATTTAGGATACTGGTTAAAGCAAATGAGCAGTCTGAGAATGAGGAGACTAGACAAAAATATTTTGGAAGAGTGATTGGAGGTAGTGATGTTCTGAGCAGGTGACATACAGGGAATTAAACAGGGTGGGGGACAGAACAAAAAAAACCCTGTTCAGGTCATCAGCTCTTCAGCATTAACCACAGCTTTGGTCCCTAGAGAGTTTTGTTCCATTCCCATGTGATCCAGCTTTGAACTAGGATTGCCATTTTTGGATGGCTGGAAGCGCTCTGCTAGATTAATTATATCCCAAAACTAAATGGAAGCCAGTGCAGCTCTTTCAGTGCAAGTGTATGCTCCCTGTGGCTTCTTCACGCCAACAAACAAGAAGACACATCGTGAATCAATTGAGATTCCTGGGCAGTCCCAATTAAAAGGTTACAAAGACATGTACAACAGTAGCCAGATCACTTTTCTCTAGGAGCAGCTATAGCTGATAGGACCTGCTTCTGGCTACAGATGCGATGTGGGCACCTACTCCGTCCCTTTAAGGGCACTGTAAAAACATACCAAGTTTACGAGTGCTGGTCCCAGGATAACTGAAAGACCTGGATGGCACTGGATCCTGCCGATACGTAGTATAGCTCTTGCGCAGGTCCCACACTTTGATTACCCTAAATTGAATAGACAGATTATTTTAGATCCAACACTATAGTTCATTATCCTTTACACAAAGGAGAATGGAATCAGCAGAACATGCTTTTAGCAAAAGGATACTAAAAACAGCCATTCAACAACAGTGAATGATTGGATGGCAAGAAATATCAGGTATTACAGGCCCTTTGCCAGCACATTCAGAACTATTGCACTGAGGACTTTGGTATAAAAACCATTGGCCTTTTAAGACAACCGAGACTTGATCTGATGTGACAGCTAAGCTAATTTTGCCCATCAAAAAAATTATGCTTTCTACTTGATTCAGTGTAAGCAGCTTCTCAGCATTTCTTGTGGACAGATTACACAAAGTACTGTATAAGGTTGCTAAGCTTGTACAAAACGACACAGCTAATCTTGGTGGAAAGATAGAGGCTTCATTTAACTGGTAAACGCAAAAAACAACAGGGCAAAATTAGATACAGTACTAAAAAACAAGAGACTTGCAACGAACTCCCCAACTGCAAAGAAAGCAAGGCTTTACAATGAATAGCCATGTGTATCAACAAATCAAATGCTGGCTCAGCCATCTGTATTGTCCCTGCCCTCCCTCCCCACATTGCTTTAGGCAGGTAGCATGTCCTGGATTCACCTGCCAACCTATTACCATATGCTGGGGAAAGTTCTAGTACGCCATAGCCACTATTGGAGCACCCCAGCAGTCCCTCTTGAGCTAATTCATTTCAGTCAAGGTAGAACAGGAGCTAGAAACTGATGTGCTCACCATCGCCTTCTGTCAAGTGAGACTGAATGAGCAGGCACAAGTCACCTCTCCTTACCCATCAACTGCTCCTGCAGAAATTAAGGTGTGTTCATCTTGAAGTACCACCACTGTCACACTCTGCTGGAAATCCTAAAGAGGAAAAAATATGAACAAGAGTGAACCCATTATTGAAGCAGCTTCACGACTAATTTCCTTAACTGCACATTCATCTTGAGTATCCTCTTTTGACACCTTCAGTGGATATCTCTACTCCATTAGCCATCCCATTCACAATCAGCTATGGTTTAATGATCTCAGGAATGGTAGCACCAAGAAAATACAACTGCTTTATGTAAGTAACTGTTACTAGTATACAATAAGGCACAGAGATGATTCCAAGTTGTTTAATTACAACAAAACACCCAAACTACCCCCTACACACACTACATATCCACCAAAGTTATTGTACAGTTTAAGGTTTCAGAATATAAGATATTATTGAATCCACGAAGCGGAGACAGACTGCTGGTGTATCAATGCCAGTATTGTGTACTTTGACTGGCAATGGCGCTCTAGGCAAAATTCCTCCAGATCTTCAACTACTTGATCCTATTAACTAAAGAGGCAAAGGACTGAAGCTGGACTTTCTGCATGCCAAGTTGAGGTTCTGCCACCAAGCCACAGCCACCACTCCATGTATTTCCCCCGCAAACCAGAAAGGTTGAGATTGCATGGAAGCAAATGAATATAAACTATAGACATGATAAAATTCTGGACAAAAATAAATGAGCAAAGTTGGTCTGATAAAGCCTATGTGAGCTTCAAGCAATAGCCCTCCAGGAGGCTGGCCTGCAAGCAAAGGTCGGTGTTTCAAAAGTGTGTTAGGCCTTCATTCAGTCTGGCACACAAACTTCTTGTCCGTCACCTTTCTCATAGGTGTTTGCCTCTATAAAAACAATTGCTAACATTGCTGCAAGGGTACTAGGCTCAACCAGGTTAAATACAAAACCAAAACAAATAAAAAAGTATGGCAAGGTTAACTTCTGAAGCTAGAAATCAAAATGTGGGGACAGGAAAGGATGGGTTTTTAAAGAGAAAAACACTGTGTGCTCATGTGCATGCATACAAAAAAGGAAGTTTCCTTTTGCATTGTCAGGCATGTGATTGCACTCTCTGTGGGTGTGTGGGTTTTTTTAAGGGATGTATATGTGCGTGCATGTGTGCGAAAAGGCAAGCACCTATGAGAAAGGTGATGGACAAGAAGTTTGTGTGCCAGAATGAATGAAGGCCTAACACACTTTTGAAACACCGACCGTTGCTTGCAGGCCAACCTCCTGGAGGGGTATTGCTTGAAGCTCACATAGGCTTATCAGACCAAATTTGCTCATTTATTTCTTTCCAGAATTTTATGATGTCTACGGTTTATATTCATTGTAAGGCAGATCTCAACCTGCTGAGACTGCCATTGAAGGGGGAAAAAACTTTAAAAGTTAACTTCCTTTTGCAGAAGATGACCTTAAACTTGCTTCAGCTTCAAATCCTTACCACTGAAGGAGCCAGTCCTCTCCCAGTCTGTTTCTTCTTCTTCAGTTTGGATGGCATATGCTTGTCCATTATGTTGTGGGCTCCGCTTATTTGCTTCACTTGTCTGTAAAACCCATCTGAAAGGTAGTTTCAGAAAGCAGTACTGAAGCACTGTTCCCTGCACTGCTGTTCCTTCCAGATATGGACATAACTGATATACAGAGACAAGTTCTTCAATCAGCCTGCCTGGCCAAATGTCATCTGGGCCCTCCCACTCTCAGACTATCATGCACAGTCATGCAGCAGGAAAGGGAAAGACAGGAAAGGCCCTTCCCAATAATCTGATTTCATCAATTTGTGATTGTTACTAGACAAAAAGTCTGAAGATTACTCACTTATCAGTGTGAAAAAAAGGTGGGATATCTACATCAGTGCTATAAAGACAAGAGTTGAAATCAAGCCAAGCTGACCCAGGTTCAGATTCACACTGAAGCAGAAAACTCATAGACTAATCTTGGGCTGATACATTTTCGCATAACCTATCTCAGGATAAAAATTGGGGGCAAGTGATGGTCACATGAATACACGAAGCTTCCTTATACTGAATCAGACCCTGGGTCCATCAAGGTCAGTACTCAGACTGGCTGTGGCTTTCCAGGGCCTCAGGATGAGGTCTTTCCCATCACCTGCTACCTGGTTCTTTTAAATGGAGATGCTGGGGATTGAACCTGGGACCTTTTGCATGCCAAGCAGATGCTCTGCCACTGAGCCACAGCAACTCCCCCCAGATTCGTACCTTTCTTACTGCATCGAGTGTCCCAAACCATGATATTTCCATCTCTTCCTCCAGTACAGAACACAGCTATAAAATATATGCAATAAGGATTAAACAAACAGCACATTGTAGAACCATATTGCTGATGAAGCTGTTCTTTACTCACTTTGTGTAAAATCTCCTCCAGGCATCCTCAGCCCACAAACCCAAACAGACTGTACCAAATTCTAAGACAATCTATTTCAATGTATTGCTCTGTGATTATTTTAAAGGGATGGGGGAGGGGTGACAAACTGAAAGTAGCTTGCTGTTGCCCCAAATCACTCATGCTGTTTTAAAAATATGCAGTGTATGCCCCCCCCCATATAAGCCACCCTCCTCAACTATCCTGCCTAGGCTACACACCCTTGTGCCCACTCAATTCACTTCTGGAGGCCATCGGGGAGCGGGGCTTGAAACAAAAACAGTTTTTTTAAAAAAAAGTGATTGCCCATGGGCTTTGAAATACCCTCCCCTTCCCACCATCATTGAAATCTTCCGATAGCAGAAGAAGACTGTCTTTTAGCTGGCTACTGAAGTGGCTGCTTTTTTGGTTCCCTTTATGGTATTTGCCATTTGTTTGTGAGACTGCTGTTTGGCTTTTATTGTTTTACTATACAGCCGTCTCATACATGTTGTTGCTCATACAAGGGTTTAGTACGAATAAATCGTGCTGATTCTGCTGGTCCATGTACTTCTGTTTATATGTTTATACCAACAGGGATCAGCATGAGCACTCCCATGAGGCCTGCATGTATGAGATGCTTTGAATCAGCATAATCAGTGCTATCATCACACATAGGAAGGAATGAAACAAGAGAGAATTTATGGTGCACTCAGGCCATATTTAGGGGGCTGCGGTGGCTCAAGTTGTTAAGACGCTGAACTGCAGACCAGAAGGTTGGTAGTTCAGCAGTTCAAGACCCGAGTGCCGCAAGATGGAGTGAGCTCCCGTCTCTGGTCCCAGCTCCTGCCAACCTAGCAGTTCGAAAGCAAGAAATTGCAAGTAGATAAATAGGTACCACTTCGGTGGGAAGGTAACAGCGTTCCATGCACCTCGGCGTCTAGTCATGCTGGCCACATGACCATGGAAACATCTTCAAACAGCGCTGGCTCTTCGGCTCATCCCTAGAGGTGGATTCGACCGGATTTCGAGCAAGGGAAACCTTTAGCTAGGCCATATTTTATTATACAGTTGCTGATGTTTGAAACAGCTACATCTACATACCCATTCAATTCATTCATAAAAACATTCCATCATGAAAACTTTAAGAAGCAGACTTTCATCCTAATCTGTTTTATTAAAGCTGAACTTGTTGTGCCTTGCACTGGCATCAGTTCTCTCCTTTACGACCTACTCAAAGGCTATTTTGCAGGAAATGATCAAAGGAAAGGGGGAAAAAGCAGGGGAGGAAGAATGATGGTGTCAAGAACTCGGTCAAATTAGAGGGAGAGACTTTTGGAGAATTCTTAAAGCCGTGCTGCTGTGAAAGAAGGGGACTCCCCACCTCCAGAGGGTGGAAGTAAGGAGTACAAGAACCCCTCCTAAAGGGAGGCAGCTGTACAGGAAGTAGCCGTCTTTGATGTGATCATGTAGAAGGGAGTCAAATGGGGCTTCCATACAAACTTTAACTCCAGCACACACATTGGCAATTTAAGCCCTTTTGAAGGTAAAAGGATGGATAGATGCCAAGGGCCTGCTGGCATCCAGAAGGCAACAGGTCAGGAAAGTAGGGCACTATGCCATGTGACAGGGAGTCAGCTTGGGATCATGGGCATTTGTGAGGGAAATGCAATGGCAACTCTCCTTGCTGTGAGGAGCTCGGGAAGGCAAGTAAACTGCTGAAGGGGCAAGAGGTTCTGTGCATGGATACTACTGCATGTCTGTGGTTGGCTGCTGGGCATTAAGAAAAGCTGGTATACTGCACTATAGCGCACTGTGATATCAGTCCCAGATAGGAGATGGATCAAAAAACTGGGCAGCCATGTATGAAACAAGATGAATGTCCAATATAGTGTAGTATCTATTCATAGGAGGTCAAGGATGTAAGAAGAAATTTTCAGACACTGCTGCATGTTTTTCCAAGCAACTGTTTCATCTTAAATAGTATGCACTAGGGATACACCGCAAAAACAAAGGGAAGTATAAATGTAAATATTTACCTCTCTCAAATTTGGAAAAAGCAACTGACTTGAGGCTGCACTGATGTCCTCTGCACACTCCCAAGAGCTCAGCAGTCCTTACATCCCACACTTTAGCTGTTTGATCTCCTGAAACAGTAACCTTCAGGAAAATAAATGCAAAAGTTTTTCTTCTTTTCCTTTTGCAGTAGTAGTGACAAAAAGGTCCCACTGGCACCTTAATAATTTTCTTATTAATAGGGTAAGCTTCTGAAGCCCAAAGGATGCTACAAATACATGAAGCAGACTACAGTAGTGACAGGTGTATATGCAATGCACCAGAAGACAGACTTAAGATTGAAACATCAACTTTTCCTATGTCTGAAGCTATCAGAGATACTAGTGGTCTTGCCAAAGTACAAAAGGGGATAAACCCCAGTGTCACCTCTGTTAATGGACTTCGTGAAAAAGACCAACAGTATTAATAGGTTATGCTAAGGTTACTTACAATTTTGTGTTCACTGGGCACCCAGGTCAGATCAAAAACAGCATTGGAGTGAGCTTGCCATTCTGAAAAGAAAATGAAAGAATTCATTTGTTCTAGCTACTGTAGCTGCAGACCAAAATGGCAGCCATTTCCTTCACCCAGCTTATGAACTAGAATAAGATGTGGCATGGTAAAATGCCTTCCACCCCTGGAGTTTGGTACCTAAATTTATAACCCCATAGGATTAATTGTGGGGTTTGCACTCTTTACAGTCACAGAGGCTGTACAGTGCTCCTTTCTGGTCTGCAAAAGGAGAGCTGTGAAGCAAGTCAGTATGAGTCACCACCCTAGTGCAGAGCCATTCAATGCTATAAAAATGTAGATGACACTGGCTAGAGGAAGCTACACAAGAAGGGACCATGGTGAAATATAACTATGTAATAGAAACACAACGTGAGAAAATAATATTCAACTAAGAATATCAATATATTGTGCCCCAAATTTTAACTAATTGTAACAATTATATTCATAACATATATAGTCAAATGTACATACATAACACATACATATGCATTCAGTAACTTTCTGGTTTTAAGATAGAATAACGGTGTTCCATTAGCAGTTGCTTTTGTCTAGGGCATTAGAGAATCTTGTTGAGATCAACCTGAAGCTTGACTTCTTGATTCCAGACTAAAAAATTACTGAATGAGATTTATGATTCTTGAAGAAGATAATTTTGAAACAGACCTTTATCAGAAGTCCGACAATCGTGGAATTTCAACATAAATCTTCAGTATTACACCAGATGAAATCAAGGACTTGTCGATTACAGTAGATAGTACTGTAACATACCATGTTGTTGATGTTGCAAGAGTCTTTATTTAAGGTGTCAACTTCATATAAGACTTTTGGTCTCAAGACTTCATGGTTCGAATAGTTATATTGTTTGGTTGATATATGTGTTATATACATACATGTCTATATATGTTATAAATAAGATTGTTACAATTTGTTAAAATTTGGGGCACAATATATTGATATTCTTTACCAGTTGAGTATTATTTTCTCACAGTGCATTTCTATTACATACTGGCTAGGGGAAGAATCACATCTAAGACTAGGAAGGCAGAAAGTTTGGAGCCTGATGAGAAAGCCATTTTTTACACATACTTTCAGTAGGCATTAGCAACTGACAGCAGGGTTGTGGGGGTGGGCAACATCCTAGGAGACAAATTAAAAAGAAAAATAAGATCATTGGAAAAATAGAAGAAATATTGGGCGTACAAATCCCTAAAACCCTGTAGGGAATATTGCTTAACCATTGGGACAATTCACCTTTGTCAAGAACAAAAAGAGAGCTTGTAGCACTGATGTTAATAGCTGCAAAAAACGATTTTGGCACAACTTTGGAAAACAGAAAAAATACCTACTATTAATCAATGGTTTGTAAAGTTATGGGATATCATAGCAATGGATAAGCTAGCTTTGCAAATCCTAGCAGCAGAAAACCCTACACAAAAAGGTTTTTTGAAAAAATGGTTTGTATTTTTTGATTATATAACTAATAAGACGGATAATGTTAGTGCCTTACTGGAAAAATATGTAGACTTTGTATTTTACTAACTTGAGGATTATAGATCAAATGTTTTTGAATCTGTTACTGTTTCATTGGAAATGTTTGTAAGAAAAGTGTTTTGTTTCTATTGTTAGAATTGTTATTTATTTTTTGGAAAATGTAATAAAACATAAAGTTATAAAAAAAAGAAAAGAAAGAAAAATAAGCATCTACTTATAGGAAGTTCTGACTATAGAGTTCCTAATGATTCCTAGAGCTGCGGTAGCTTTAGCAATTGTTATCTTCCTGTAAGTAGGTTTATTTTTCTTTTTGATTTTTCTCCCCAGGACAACTGCATCCCTCCTTTGGCCCCCATTTCCATCCACCAATCAGCTGAGCATTGGCTGGCAAAGGCCGCTTAGAGCTCTCCCATCACAGGCAGGCAAATAGGAATGCAAATTCTGCATGGCTCAGGCATAAGGCCCAACAATGATTTGGCACAATGCAAATGACTTGCAAAAACCATGGTTTGTAATTCTAATCTACAGGGTAAACTCAAGCCATAGTTTGATTAACAATGTATGTGCGTGTGTTGAGTTTTTGGTTGCACAAACTGCTAGTTATTTTAAATGGCCAACAATCAAAACATATCTCATTGCAATTGCTTGTATCCAATAATTCATATCACATTTCACATCAGGTCATTTGTATTGGCCCTTGTGTTCAGGCCACTTGAACTTTCCAACGAGGCTTTCATTGGTCCTTTATTTGTTTTTAACTGCTTTTCTAATAAATACATGTATTTTTGTATCTTAAGTTTAAACTAGGGTTTTAATATTGGTCCTTTATTAGACACATTTCACATCTCGACCAAGGGTTCCATTTACCTCTAAAAATCTGCTTGTCACTTGCTTGTGTTTGGGTATCATACAGCCTAACAAATCCCTCTTCATTTGCAACAGCAAGTATATGCTGCAATTCAGGAGCTGGGGGGAAAGTCAGTAAAATCTGTAAGTCTTTAAAAACACATTTTAAAGTTTAATATTTATATATTTGACATGTTAATAAAAAGGTTACAATACACTTCACAATGCAATTCTAAGTACAAGTTATATCTTTCTAAGTAATCGGAAGCCGTTAACTCTGTTTAGGGCTGCACTGCAAATCATAAAGTTTAACAATATATAAACATAATGGATTTACAGAATGCAAAGTCATGAGACTGAATCAACAGAGCCATGAAAGCAGGGTAGAAATTAAACATAATAACTTAAGTACGTAAGATATGGCACCACACTCTGAATTCCAGTAACAATATTTTACATCTATTTGATGGTATGCTATTTGATCTTGTCTATAGTAATTAAAAATGTAAGGAGTTTTACAAAACCAAAAGATATGTTTGTTTAACTTAGATATTTGTATTTGGTGGATTATTTGTTAATTATAATTCAGTTTGCTTCATACAGTAATTCAGCAGTTCATTCCTTATGTGAGACCACATGCCAGGTGTCCGTATTCCATTTGACAGAATTCAAGCACATACTGAATCACATTTGTCCTTCTGCAACACCTAACATTGTACCCACTGTGTCAAAGTCACAACACCCATCCCTTCAGATGGCAGTAGTACATTCTTAATATATACCACATCTTACTCTTTGTTCATCCTAAATTATTTATGAAAGAGACTAGTCATTATCTATAAGTGTATGTCATCCTCACTCTAAAGAAAAGACAATTGACAGCTGAGCCCCTACCCTTACCAGTTGAAAAGGTGCAGCCAAAAGGAGGAACTGGCATTTCCATTTCTCCATAGGAAAGATAGTCATCTGATCTAGCACACTCATAATGATTTAAGACATGGTATAGGGAAAACTGTGGCAGCAGACCTAAAAAATGAAGGAGATCATTCTGAATTTTATGTTTTAATCATTTCCTTTTTCACAAATTCTGTTGAAAGCAACTTTACAAAACATCACAGCAAATACTTGTGTTAAAGTTTTACTGTATAGCGAACTGTACTGTACACTCAATTACGTTACTTACCAAAGTGCATAAAATATTGTGAATTAAAAGTCCTTCAACAGCCAGTATCTAGCATCAATGTCCCCGGTCACACTAGCAGAAAAGCCGTGGCAGAAGTGCGGCTTTTTAGAGGCGCAGCAAATTGAAGCGCTGCATCAGGATCAGACAGATCCCCCAAGCCGAACCGCATTTGCTCTCCGCCACGATCACATGCCAAGGGGGAAACAATGGGACGAAGGGAGAGGCGAGGTAGCTGTGTGCATGCGCAGTGTGGCAGGGCCTCGCATACCGCGGGATATGGGCGCGTCGGCGATCACACGGCTGCCCGTGCTGCGCGTTTCCAAGTAGGTAGTAGTGTTTTGCTGGTATCTTTTAAATCTGCGTTTTCGGCCAGAAGGGACGGGTTGGGGGCGGGTGTGCGACGCTTGCCAGATGTTGGCAATCCCACCAGTTTAATCTGCCCTCAACCCGTCTGTTTTGCGGGGCAAATCCTCCCATGTGACCGGGGCCTATGACTACTATTTTTAAATGGCCTATTATTTCTGTAATATAGACGTTATCCCCAGCAATAAGAGCCAGTTTGCTGTATTGGTTAGAAGCACAGACTCTAATTTGGGAGAACCGGGTTTGATTCCCCACTTCTCCACATGCAGCTCCTGGCATGACCTTGGGTCAGTCATAAATTCTCTCAGAGGTGTTCTCTCAACGGCAGTTCTCAAGAGAGCTCTCTCAGCCCCAACTACCTCACAGGTGTCTGTTATGGGGAAGGGAAAGGAAAGCAATTGTAAACTGCTCTGAGACTCCTTCAGGTAGTGAAGGGCGGGGTACAAATTCAATCTCTTCTTCAAGAAAAAGGCGAACAAATCTTCTGTTAAACCAAGTAAAATGGCAGATGGGCACAATAACTTCTTCTCTAACAGCAGACGGGCTGCAGCCTCTCACCCCCCAATTATATCTGCTTTTCAGTACCATTGATTGTTAAGAAGTAGTCTCCACAGCACAGCAGAAAGTGCATTCACAGTACATGTATTTGACCTGCATTATAAATGCTCCCCACACGACACCTAGGCACACGTGTGTAAGAGCAGCACTTCAGCTTGCTTTAAAGTCAATCGGTTGGTGTTTGATTAACTCTCCCCCTTTTGTCCTCTGGTGTTGGTTTCAATTTGATTTTAAGTAGCAGTTGAGTGTTTTTGTTAGTTTACACTATATTAGCTACTACTATATTTTACTGATTGTAAATTAGTTATGTTTCAGAGTTTGTTGGACAGATTTTTTTACTCTGCAAATCATCTGGTGCATCCAAATAAAGAGGCAGTCTAAAACGTTAAGAATAATAAAATTACACCACCCCCATTTATATCCTTCAACATCAGTAACCAGCCTACATCTGAATACTAAAGGAAAATGAAAAGTGTTTCTGCTCATGTACTAGTTGTCAAACCTTTGTATGTGCTCTTGGTACAACATTATACAGGTGTACTTCCTATACAGATTATAATTTTAGCACTGAATGGCAATTAGTAAAATTGCCCTAAATGAATAGTATAGGTTTTTCACTATGACGGTATTTAGGCTTTTGACCAGTGGGGCTGCAACAGCAATGGGATCATCCAAGTACTGGTGATGGCGGGGGGCCCTCCTCCATTTTGAACAGGTTTTACTACAGGCCGCTTTTACTCCTCAAAAAGTACCAAGGTTTCGGGAATATTTGTTTCCGCTAGATTTAACTGCTCATTCACATGAACCCCATTATTTCCCCCACCCCTTCTGAAACACTCAGTGCCAAGACTGTAAGTCAATTTAAACACAAGAGTAAAAATCCATCAAGGGGTTGTTAATACGTTGCCGCAACTAAAATTTTCTAGCTAGTCAAAAAAGGGGGGGGGGGAGGTTTAGCCAGTAAGAATCAAGGCGGGGGGAAAGGCGAGAGGGATCCAGACCTAACCCACCTCATAGGGCCGCAAAAAGAATAAATAAGAGAGAAAATATCCATCTGTATCGCTGACGGAAAAAACAAATGGAAAAGGATTAAACGGAGAGAAAGTGGCTCCGAGAGAGGAGGAGGAAGAGAAGAAGCCCCCCTGCCCCCGATAGCACTCACCATGCGGTCCGGCTCGGGAGCGGCTTATGAGGGAGCGACACAGCATGAGGATGACGGCGGCCGCGACAAACAGTTCAAGTACCCACCAAATGCCGTTCACTACGCGCACGAGACCCACCGGTAACCGAACGGCGATCTCCGATATCCTAAAGCAAACTCCCGCCAAGCCGAAGTACCCGCCAAAGCTCACTCACATGGCCATTGGACAGCCGCGCACAAGACCACACCTCTTCTGTTTTCCCATTGGCCTCTTCTCCCCAAAAACATGGCCGGGCCACACCCACATCTCTTCCGTCGGGCAATGAAATTAGCATGAACCCGCCTACAACTCTGGCGGCGCGTCTCTCCATCTTCCTCCCTCCTAACAACACGCACGCGCATCAAACAAGTGTGTACGGGAATGCGCAGGCGCTCCGAATAGAATGGCGCTTGCACATGCGCAGTTTTTCGTGCTGGAGACGGGAAGGAGAGAGTAGGCGCTCACAAGTAGTCATCATCCGTTCCCTCATCCGAAACCTCTGGTTAAAACAGGGCGGCATGGCGTCCTCTTCCAAATCTTTCTTGGCTGATGCTGGCTATGGGGAGCAGGAGTTAGACGCTAACTCTGCTCTCATGGAATTGGATAAAGGTATGGTGAGAAAACGAGCATTTTACGCATGCGCCGATGGTGTTGTCATGACGGCTTGAAAGCTCCGCCCCTTTGCTTGGAAGCGCCAAATGTTCTGTGGAAGTGGTTTGTGTGTCAGGAGGACTGAGTTCGTTGAGAATTCCTGGGACTGGGATTCTCCCATCGCACATCTGGGTTGGTTTTGGTTGTTAAGTCGAGAAGAGGTTCCTGAGTGATGCCAGCAGATCACAAGTTAAACAGCGAACTGAGTTCGCTTGACGTTCACTATGAGGTTGCAGCCGAAGACTAGCCAGAACTACCAAGTGTAGCTTCCATAACTTGAGTCTTAAGGTGGGGCCCCCGAAGAAGGACACAGAGAGAGAGAGAGAGGGAGGGAAATAAGCGATTAGGATATCTCATCCAAATTTGCTGCAGGATTCAGTCAGCTCTAAGGGGTTTGGTCAATTTCCCCATCTCCTTCACTCTTTTGTATTTGTTTTCCTGCTTTTTACTGGCTGGAATCCACTCTCAATCCGTGCATACTTAGGGAGCTGACTGGTGTGCATGTATGTATGTGTGTATCTATCTATAAAAAGTGATAGGTAGTGGATCATAAACAGAGGTGATTACAATTAGTGCAGGTATAATATAAGTATAATTTCCCTAATAAAATTGTATTATGGTGGGTTGGAGGAAGCAAAGATGAATGACAAGTTTCTGAAGAATGATTAGCAATACGTTGCTGATTTTCCTTCCATGGCCATAAGTGTGACTTGTAGTGCATGTTGATTTGCAGACAGTAGCAGGTGGTAATGGTTATTCCTTTCGGAAAAGCTCTGTTTTCTGGTCTCTGGATGTCGCACTGCTGTTAAAGGCCCAGCATATCAAGCCATTTTTTTTCTTGACAGAAAACCCTAAATGTCAAAAGAGAATTTGGTGCTATGTAATTCACTAAGCAATTTCTTCTTGGGGGAGCAGAGAAAAGGAATACATGAGAACAAATGTCTTGCTTCCCATAGGAATAAATGATGAATGTTCCCCCAGTTTCTCACCTTTGGGATACAATTAGTAATTTTTGGGTACAATTTTGAATCTGTTGATCTTTTCCCTTGGAAAGAAAATTGGCCAAATGTTAATACCATTAAACACAAAGTTCCCCATACTTACTGGTTGTGTGGTTAACTCAATCTTATGTAATCCCCCTCCTGTCCCACATGAGTTTTGTATATTCAGGTCTGCATAAATGTCAGAAGGGAGTAGGGTGCTTTGTTATTCACTAAGCAGTTATTTCAGGGCAGGGGGAAGCAAAGAAAATGAGCTCTTATTGCAAATGTTTAGAAATGTGTTCATTATTTCACTCTGGACATGCTTTACACAAAAACAGACAGAATTACATTGTAACACTTATACTTTGATCATTGTTTCAAACTCTAAACAACAGCAAACCCAAGTTTGTTACTTAAACATATAAGAACATAAGAGATGCCAATGTTGGATCAGGCCAAAGGCCCATCCAGTCCAACACTCTGTATCACACAGTGGCCAGAAATACCAGTGCCATCAGGAGGTCCACCAGTGGGGCCAGGACATTAGAAGCCCTCCCACTGTTGACTCCCCCCAAGCACCAAGATGACAGCATCACTTGCCCCAGATTCCCTATCTATACCTTGTGGCTAATAGCCACTGATGGACCTCTGCTCCATATACTTATCTAATTCCCTTAGCTCTCAGCTCTGATTTTTGTGCCTGGATGATACTTGTTTTCTAATACACTCTCAGTCTTTATGTATACTTTTAACCTTGTTTTAAGCAACCTCTTTGTAGGCATAATGTCACCCTGCAGTCACTGCTAGAAACCTCTGTCCTAGAAAGGGCTGGTCTAGATAGTTCAGCCTAGCCAGATCTCATCATCTTGGAAACTAATCAGTGATGGCCCTGGTTAGTATTTGGATGGGAGACCGTCAGGGAAGTCCAGGGTCACTACGCAGAGGCAGGCAATAGCAAATCATCATCTATTCATCTCTTGCCTTGAAAACCCTGCAGGGTTGCTATAAATTGAGTGTGACTTGACAGCAAAAAAAAATTGAAAACATTGCAATCCAAGATTATGCTTACGTGTGAGGGGCGAGGTGGGTTTTTCTTTTGTAATGAACCTACTGAGCACAGTAAGTGTTAGTAGAGAACAGTGCCATCATTTTTAGTAGAAAGGAGCTCCCTACATCTCAAACAAGTACCAGAGTGCTGTCTATATGGGAAGATACTGATATCATGGCTTGGTTTGGAGGAAGTGACAAGTAGATAGTAGGTCCTCAGTGGAACTTGGAGAACTGCTATAATAGATGAATTGTACTCTGTGGGTTTTTTAAAAGAACAATGTGGTGCTATCTAAATTTCTTGCATATCCACCTAATGTTTTACAAGATATTAAAATACTGTGCACTCTTACATTCTGTATGTCATTGTCTAGGCCTGCATCATCTTACTTGCTTCTATGGATTAGAAATAATTTTATGTGGCCTGACTTGAGACCTAAAATCAAATGAGTTGACCATTAAAGGAAACGCTTCTGTGCAAATGGTTTAGGATCATTAAGTGCTAATACTATTTCTTTTCTCAGGACTCCGATCTGGTAAACTGGGGGAGCAATGTGAAGCTGTTGTTCGTTTCCCCAGACTCTTTCAGAAATATCCATTCCCAATTCTGATCAACTCTGCGTTTTTAAAACTAGCTGATGTTTTCAGAGTTGGGTAAGTAGAACTAGTTCCTTTCTGATTCTTAGTATTCAAGCAATAGTTTCTGCTTCTTAGAGATTTATGAATTTTACTTTCTTCAGTATTCGTTGTGTTATTGGTAATATGCTGTGTAAAAGTAGTTTGGTGATTGGCACTTCTTGAAACCAGTTCTTGAAACCACTTCAAAACAGAAGTGGCAGTAATTAATTTATTTACTAAAACACAGATCCTGCCTTTTTTCTTGGTTCAAGGCGGCTTACAATAATTAAGGGTTTTCACTGTTCTAAATCAATGGCTGTGTCTTTATATAACATCTGTGCCCTCAATCTTTCTGAGAATTGATACAAGCTTATCAGTGGAAAAATCATAGGCGATGTCAATAAAATTAGATAGGAGACTGGAAGGTTTTAAAATCTAATTAACTAGCATTTTTAGATTTAAGCAGTGAGATACTTCCAATTTGAAACTTTGGTTGACTTGTGAGTTCTGTTTTTCCAAGTACTGATGGAAATTCATTGTAATTCTTATTGTCCAAATCATTTCTCATTGTTTTTTGTGATTCTTTAGTAAAGTGCTTATTAGTTTTCTTTTTTAAGTTGTGGAGGGGAACTGAGGGTTTAGACTGTTCAGAGATAAACATTTTAGATAACACATAAAGAGATGCAGTAAACAGACTCTTAGGCAGTTTAAAAAGGGGATAAACAAGTTGGGGAAAAATTGCCCTCTTGAGGTAAAAGTTTTAGGTAACGCATAAACTGAATCCTTTAAAAAATGGAAAAACAGGTTGGCAGAAAGGATTCGCCCTCCTGAGATGAGAATTTCTGGTAAAAGCAAGGAGGAGCTATAATAAAGACTTAAATTGTAAAGAACATAACAAACAGGTTGGGGAAGAAGATTTGACACTCCTGAGGTAACAGAAAGGGTAAATTGTAGGGAATTGTCACAAAAATGCCTCCCAAGAAAATGAAGCCTGCTGCTTCAGAAACTGGTGCTTCCAGAAACTCAAGAAGTAACAAGGAGGTTGGAAAGGAATCAGATAATATAGAAATATGTAAAATCAAGAGAGAACTTGAATTAGTCAAAAGAGCAGCTAAAAAAGAGGAAAAAGAAATGGAATTAGAAATTCAGAGATTAAGAATGAGATCATTCGAACTGGGGAGAGTTCATATAGCTCCTAGGGTCCAGGAACCTGAGGGAAGATATGAAAAGAATACCCAGATTTCAGAAAGGAGACAGTCTGGAGGCGTACTTAGTTATTTCTGAGAGAGCCTGCCTGGACTTCAGCATCCCTGATGATGAGAGAATGGCATACATAAGATCACGAATCTCTGGAGGTTTGAATGAAATGTACAGTAAAATGGAGGATGAGGAAGTAAGCAATTTTGATTTAAAGAGTGAGCAGAGCAAAGCAAAGGTTTGGAGTGACCCCAGAATGTAGCATAAAAGAGTTTAGGAGCTTGAGAAAGAAACCTGGAGACGTATGCTCAGGTGGTAAGTAAACTAAACCGGTTGTTAAAACAGTGGCTGACGGGCAAAAGCAGAGAGCCACATGCTGCAGGCTCGAGTATGTGTAGTATTAACACCAGAGGAAGGCATGGATCATGATTACAGTGAACCAGTTGCATTCGATGAACTGCGTTTATTAGCATGGAGAAATTCAGAGTCTGAGGTTAGTGTCAAACCTCACTTGTTCAGACCTAAAAGCCTAGTTAAGGGGGGGGCATAATTTTTTTTTTTATAAATATATTTATTACAGATTTCTTATGCATTACACCATGCATACACATTGTTACATTTCCCAGTATCTCTACAGAGTCATCAGTATCTCGATTTATATCTTGTTTTCATTTATCCATTTATAAAACATTCTCCATCTATTGGTAAATATGTCCATATTCTTATTTTCTAAGATTGTAGTCAATTTATCTATTTCGACTACCTCCTGTAGTTTAATAATTAGTTCTTTTCGTGACGGTATCCTCTCAACTTTCCAATTTTTGGCAAATAAAATACGTGCTGCCGTGAGAATAAATCCTATAACATATTTTTCTTCATTTTTCAACTTATCTGGCATTACATTCAACAAGAACATTTCTGGTCTAAAAGTTATTTCCATTTTATACATGTCTATTAACATCTTATGTACCTTCTGCCAGTATTGTTGAGACTTGGGGCATCTCCACCACATATGATAGAAGGTGCCCACATTGTTTTTGCACTTCCAACAATTTTTAGATGCGTTCGAATAACATTTGGCTATTTTATCCGGGGACCAGTGCCACCGGTGGAACATAATTAAAGGACTGGGAGGACCTGCTTTCCCAGTGCCTGTGGCTAAAGTAAATGTACGTTGTTAAGACTGGAATGGGAGGTAGTGGTGCTTGAAGAAATCCCAGCTCCAGCAATGTTGGGGAATGACCTGGCAAAACATGTAGCCAGGGTGAATGTGACAACTTGTTGCCAAATCAGACTGCAGAAAAGGGCACCTAACCAAGAACAAGGAACAGGAGCTCAAGAAATCTTGCCATATTGTGAAACCTTCCAAATTAATGACACTTTTGAGGAGGAAATTAAAAATCAGGATGCACATGATTCCAACTGGGAAAAGGGAATCAGCTGAATTCGTTGGTGAACACTAACAAAATGACGCATTACAGTCCTTAAGAGAATTAGCTAATGCAAACCTTCCCAAAATCTAATACCTGAACACCTGATGAGATTCATACGTAGAGAGGGCAATATTATATGAGTCTCTCAAGAAAAGGGGATAAGCGGCATGTGACCCACACAAGCAGCTAGTAGTGCTACAAAAATACAGGATGGATTTACTAAGAGTGACACATGCCAGCCCATTTGTAGATCACATGGGGGTTAGCAGAACAAATAACCAGCTGACTCAAAATTTCTACTGGCCAAAAATTGGACAGAATGTGGCTAAATATTGCACGACGTGATATCTTCCAAAAGATAGGAAAACAGAAAGATAAAACCCAAGCCTTTTTACAGCCAGTGCCATTCATAGAGTAGCCCTTTTGGCGAATAGGCAATGACTTGGTGGGTCCTTTGCTCAGAGTAACTCGGAGAAGGAACAAATATATTCTTACTATTATGGCTTATGCAACAAAATATCCAGAAGCAATAGCACTATCCAGTATGGACACTACTGTGGTAGCTGATGCTTTGATAAATATATTTTGCAGAGGCGCGTGCGCGGAACGGCACTGCGAGCGGGCGTCTTCTCGGGACGCTCCTGAGAAGCCCGCTTCCTTTTTCGCTTTTTTGAGGCCCTCCGAGCATTCGGGGGGGCTCGCTTCACGTCCTGGAGGGAGGGGAAGTTGCAGGGGGCTCTTTCACAGCGAATCCTGTCGATGGCAATCACGGGTGTGTCGAGGTGCTGCCCCAGAAGCAAGAGTGAAGACGGGAGGAAGCATGGTTTCATGCTTCCCTAAGCGGCAACCAACCGTCTGTTTTTAACTTCACTAGTCGGCAAGTACACATCAGCATATTCTTTCGCGTTTTTTCATGTCAAGACAAAAACAATTTTGAGCCAAATACCCTTCAATTACCCCTAAAGTACTGGGAAAAGTGGCTACGGAATGACTGGGGGGGAAATGATTGCAGTGGAGAAAGGGCAAGAAAGGAGAAAGGAAAAGCCGGTTTATGGAACATTACTAGCCAAAAGATTGAATTATAGAACAACTAAAATTATTGGATGTTAGATGACCATTGAGGTATTTAAAGTTTAAAGTATTACTCTGGGAAGAAAGAGAAAATGGCGGCGACAGAGGAAGAAGAAGAGCTGGATTTGGATATGCTTGTAGGAGAACTCACTTATGATCAATTTAAACAATTTTTGTCAAAAACAATTAAACAAGCAGTGGAAAACGCTGGTAAAGATTTGTTTAAGGGATCACAGGATGAACAAGCCAATGTAGAAAGCAACGAAGAGCCTAATTGCCATGTATTAGAGCCAGTTGTAATACAGGATGATTGCCAGGAGATGGAGCCAGCGGTCAGGAAGCTTTCAACTACACAGAGTGTTGTGAAGGAAATGGATACTTACGAAGGACAGAATGGAAAAGAAGTATTAAGATTAAAGAAGAAAACAGAAAAGAGAAGAGGATGTCTTAGAAAAATTGTTGTAAGAAAAAGACAGAAGCTAAGAGACTTTGGAAAGGACTCTAAAACCTACAAAAGAAAGACAGATGGATTATGGAAAAGCAAAAAGCAAAAGGAAAGTCTGAATTTAAGATCACATGAGTACAAAAATTTAAGACACAGATTACAGATTGAGAAGAAGTTGGAAGTAACGGAAAGCTGGAGAAAGAATTTGGGTCAAGATTGTGATCTGGAGTAGAAAATATTTTTTCTATTTGGCAACAATGGCTTCTTATGAAGGGAATGGATATTGCTGAGATTTTTTTGCATAGGTTTAGATTGAATTGAATTAGGGAAGAAGGTGTTTAGGGACTGAAAATTTATCTTTAATTGGTAGAAGTTTCTGTTTTTGGGTTATAAGGCATGAGTAATATATTGATAGGTAATAAGGAAACAGTAGGTATGGGTTTGTTTTTGGTAGTATAGAAAGGTAATAATTAATTGTTATAATAAGGTGGTGGATTTTATGATATGTTGATTAGCAGAATCAGGAAGGAAAGCGGCTGAGATCTTAGGTATATTTGTTTTATATTTGTTGTAGTTTGGTATTTTTTCGTTAGTTTTCTCTCTTTTTATTTTATTTAACAGGAAATAATAAAGATAAGGCTACAGAGAGAACAGTTAAGATTCTTTATAATATGATGCTTCCTTGTGATAGTGCCATTTGTTTTGATTTTAGTTTAGAAGGACAGTACAATGTGATTGTAGTTTGTTTATTGTTTAGAATTGTTTTTTGCATTTATAATGTTATAAGTGAGTTGGAGATGGGTTATGAATTATTATTAGGAAACACTTTGAGACGGCGTGGCAATATTTAGACCTAGATAGGATTTAAACTATTAAATTTCTCGTAATGA